CTGGCAGTATCTATGTCAGTTAACCTACGTATCTTCATTACGGCATATGCTGCAGAGCTAAGTCTACTCGACAATCTATCAATATGTGGGCCCCACTGTAGTTTAGAATCTAATGTTATTCCTAAAAATACTGTGGTATCCACAAGGCCCATGTTCTTATCTTTTACATTAACATTTATATCTACTTTTTTAACATTAGGTAGTACAAATTTTAAGCATTTTGTTTTTCCTTCATTAAGGAGAAGATTATTTACATTAAACCAATGTACTACTTTAGCGATAGAATTGTTCACATCGTCATTTAGAGGTAACCCTCTTTTAATTTTAAACAAGAGTGAAGTGTCATCCGCAAACAAAACTATTTCGTGATCATCCCTTACGAAATAAGGCAAGTCATTTATGTAAATCAAAAACAAGAAAGGACCAAGTATTGAGCCCTGCGGAACGCCCATCTTAATTTTCGATCCAGGGGATCTTTTGCCATTGATATCAACCCTCTGTACTCTGTCAGTCAAGTATGAGACAATAAAATCCAATGAGTTATCTCTAAATCCATAAAAATGCAGTTTCCTAATCAATGTTTCATGAAAAACACAATCAAATGCCTTAGATAGGTCACAGAAAACACCTAACGCATCATGTGAATCCTCCCAGGCATTAAAAATTTCTTGTATTAACTCGACACCGGCTTCGGTTGTCGAGCGACCCCTTGTAAAACCAAATTGTTGTCGATTCATAAGCTTATTCTTGTAAAAGTACGTTTGTATTTGATCCAGCATGATTTTTTCAAAAATCTTACTAAACGTAGGTAGCACGGATATAGGTCTAAAGTTAGTAGGGTCAGATGTGCTACCCGATTTATGTAAAGGAATAATTTTACTATATTTCATGAGCTCAGGAAAAATACCACAATCAGTACATTCATTAAATATATAAGCTAAGATTGGAGCTATTGTCTCAATTACCGATTTAGAAACTTCAATGGAATTACCCCATAAATCAGCAGTTTTCGTTTTCTTTAGCTGATTAAAAGATTTTATTATATCTTTAAAATCAATGTGTTGAAACTTAAATTGGCTATTAGAATTATTTAAACTTGCCTTTAAAATAGATTCAGCAACAGTGGAAGAGGAATTCAAAGATTGTGTAATTAAGACTGGAATTTCAGTAAATAAATTTTCAAATACTGTAGCAACTTCAAGATCTGATGTTACTTTTTTATTATCAATGTTTAAATTAAAATTTATATTCCGGGATTTTTCTCTTCCAGTTTCACTATTTATGATATTCCACGTCATTTTAACTTTGTCTTTACTATTTTCAATTTTTGCATTTAAATAATTACATTTGGCTAAACGACACACTTTTTTAAATAACTTAGAGTAATTTCGTACATATTCTTTGAAGTCCTCACTTGTGTTATAATTACGTTCATCATATAGTTCATAGAGCCTTTTTCTGCTTTTGTAGATTCCTGGTGTAGCCCACACACTAAAAGTTATAGGATTACTAATACTTATTTTTTTTGGGACAAAAATCTTATTGAATTCTGTACAATAAACATCAAAGAAATCTTTGTACAAATCATTGGGATTACTATTATGTTTCAAATGATACAATTTACTATCTAATTGATTTTTAAAACGTTCCAAGCGACTCATACTTTTTGACACAACTGTAATGTCTCTCCTAGCCACAAACGTACATTTATGCGGAAAGCTAACTAGTTGTCCAAAATGATCTGACGGTAGTTGTTTAATTATCTGTCTTGAAAGTGGTACTAGATCTGTAAAAATGTTGTCAATACAAGTGGACGAAGTAGCAGTTACTCTAGTAGGCTCCTTAAACATGTGCGCAAGATTATAGGACATAAATAGATTTACAAGTCTTGTACATGAATTGGAGTTTCCTAATAAATCAACGTTAAAATCACCCCCAATCACTAATCGTTTGCCTTTGCTATATACCTTTTTTAATGCTTCATCCATAACAGTTTCAAAAAGATCATAATGAGAAACTAAACTTGAAGGAGGTCTATATACGCTCAGTACAATCAGCTGGTCCAGCTCTATACAGGCAATCTCTATTATTTCCTCAACCGATAGGCTCACTATATCTCTACGTTCTTTAAATTTTAACTTTTTATTTAATAAAATTAGTGCGCCACCACGCATTGCGTTTTTCCTAATGAACGCGCTACCAACCAGGTGATTATTGAAGTTAAAAATGCAATTATAACTTGTTAACCAATGTTCCGTAATACAGAAAAAATCAACATTGTTACAGTTCATGAATAATTCCACTTCTAACTCTTTACTCAACATTCCTTGAACATTTTGGTGCACTAGGTTGATGACTGAAAAACTCTTGGTTCCATTATTACTTTGACTATTCAATAGCAAGCAAGAGGAATCCTCTGTTGTCTTAGTATCTAATTTAAAGACGAATTTGTCGCAATGTCAGTAGGATTATTACTGACAGTCATGTCAATAGAAGAGTGCTCAATAGGAGCACTCTGGTTAGCCAAATTTTTGGCTGTTATAGAAAAAAAATATGATAGCGAAATAGCTATTTGTCTCTTATAATAATTAGAAAGATAATATTTATCTTTAGTCAAATAAAATTTTCTAACATACTTGTTAGTGTCAATGACATGAAACTTTGCAGTATTGCATATAGTGTGCAATGTCATATTCAATTTGTATCGCAAATTATTTTCTTCACTGGACAAACTATTGCAATACGGCAACGTAAAAATCACGACTTTCCCAACACTTAATGAATTTAATTCGTTTATATATTTCAATAATTTATGTTTGTTCAAAGTACCTCTATTGCCAATAAAAAACAATAAGTGGTATTTTCGCTGTAGTTTTGTTTAATTGCTTTTTCCAAAATATCACTAAAAGAGGAATTAGGCATACAGAAGTTTAATGTTGAATGGCCCATATCGAATAGCAGACGGCCCATGTTTCTGCCAATTTCATCACTGAACATTAAAATATTATTTTTATAATTTTGTGAATTTATTCTGTGACGTTGGGAAAATTGTGATGGGGAGCAGTCATCAGTAACAGATGACTGAACAGGTACCTGAGTAAACAGTTGTGACTGGTGGGCAGATGACTGACAGGGTTTCTGTGTAACTGTATTTATAAATTGTTTCTGAATATTATTATTGTTATTGTTACTAAAGCTGTTATTTGTTTTGTTAATTAATTGTTTATTATTTAACAGTGAATGGTAACGGTCAGCATTGTAATTGCATAGGTCAACCAACTCTGTGGCAGACCTAATATGCTCATCAATCTGAGACTGTGCAACTAAATATTTATTTTGTATTAATTCTATTGATTCATGTAATTTTTTTATTTCAAATTGCAATTTATTTGTATCCCGGTCATACATCTGCCGACTTTCACATAATTTATCACTATATATTTCCAAAGAATCCATTAGACTACTGCGTTGTTTCCTCAAGGCAATATTTTTATAAAAACAATTATTCTTTTTTATCAATCTCTCAGTTTTCTGGATAACTTTTCCAATTTTAATATATTTCTTAAGTTTCCTAGTACTTAAATTAAAATTGATCTGCGTCTTAGAGCGTATATCACAGGCTATTAGTTGATGCCTCATTGACTGACCTCCAGGTGATGCTACCAGTTCTTCAAAAAGGTATAAACAGGTATATCGATGCCAATTAATTTCACTTGATTTGATAATAAAAAAAAATATATATCAACATAAGCGCTGTTTCATTACGAACACATTGATATAGGGTTGTCTGCAAAAAATTCGGTCCTAATACGGGTTTGCGAATTTTAAAAATTAAAATTTTAACGCGTGGGAAAGTGAGTGACAGAGAGATCCGAGGAAAGTATTTTTATAACAGGTAATATGGTAACCTATAAAATCGAGCGCTGCTTTAGTAAGCTCAACTTCATGATATTTAAAGTTTTTGTTTTTACGAAAAGCTTCAACGAACAATTTTTAAAAGTTTCAACAGTAAAATCAGTAAAATCATTTAAAGAATCGTCCGAACCACACAAAAAACACTTTTTAGCCATTTTTTATCACAACAATACAGAATAACATACTCCAAAATAACGTGCACTGTTTACTATACCTGGGCATCTTTTTTTTTTAATCCCCCTTCGTTTTTGCTATGTCCCTCGGATTTAATATTTATTTCTGATGTTTCTATAGATTTTAGATTGTAAGTGTCTATGGAAAAATCCATCAGAATATATTAAAGTGGTATAATATATTTTTTATTTTCTTTTAACCCATAATAAATTTAACGGTAAAATAATTTAAAGTTTTGGGAACAGCAAAATTTTGTATGTCCCCTTTTACACTGCACCACACTTGAAATATTTCTTATTTGAGGCGACGCTGAATATGTGTTATTTGATATTCATAAATCTGAAATGTATATGATTTAATAAAAGTAATTACAATCTTTAAAAGTTATAACTGTAAAACAAAATAAATTTTCAAATGATAATCAAAATATTGACGCTGACCGGAATTTTCCGTTAAGTGACTTTGATTTACTTCGTGTAAAAACTCCAATTTGGTAAGATTTTAAATTAACGACAACATTACTTAACCCTTATGTCAGCGGAACGTCATTTACATTTTAGTATCTGCCGGTGAGCGAAAAAAACGGTTGTGTTGGCCGAGTTTCTCTAGACTACAGGAAATTTCGTTCAGGTAAGTGACTGGATTTATGATAATAAATGTTTAGGTATTGTATTTCTTTTAGTCATGTACGTTAAGTATAACTTTAGCAATCTGCGCCATATGAATTTATACTGTTACTTATGACTGTTAATTTTATAAATTTTTTTAATCAATGAGAGTAATCAAATGTGACTTCCATTTGGTGACCATATCTCTGGTCACGTATAAGGTGGAATGGAAAGTCACTACTGGCGGAAAGCATAAAGCACAGTTCACAGAAAATCCTCACCTCTTGAAAGTTAAGATTAAGGCTCTATTCAGTATCTTATATTTTGTAATATTTCTTGGTATATATGATTATCTTATTAATTCTAATTTATTCTAATGTAAAATTTTATGCAAAATGAAATTATTTTTCGAAAAACCTAATCAACACATTAAAATATAATTAATATTCCTAGTGTTCCTAGTTACATAAAAATCCATCAAAGTTAACTTTGTTAACACAAATTATTATTATTTTCATAGACATTATGCCTCTCAGTGGCGCCGAAAAAACTAGAAGATATAGAGAAAAGCTTAAAAGGGACCGCCCTGAAGAATATGCTGCTCAATGTCAGATAAATTTACAAAAAATAAAAACAAAGAAAAAAAAGATTTCAGAAATGTCTTTAGAAGAAGCAAAAGCACAAAGACAGACATGGCGAGAAAAAAAAGAAATAGTAAAACTCGAAACAAAAAATGTAAAAACGGTACAAACGGTTTGATCAAAAATTTAAAGACTCGAAATGAAACCTATAAAAAACGAAATCAGCGCATTACAAAAAGATATATAGAAAAGATTGCAGAGTTAGAGAATATTAATAAAAAAATGAAGACGAGAGAGGAGATTCTTGAATGTACATTAAAACGAACTTATAAAAATAGCAGAACTCACAAGGAAAAGAAAATATTACGTCAACTGGTGCATAATGCCGAAAATAAAACCTATGTTTCAAATAAGCTGGGCTTAATTTGTAAACCTAAGGAAAACAAAAAAATATTTAAGCGTCCGAATATACCGGAAATTACAAATTTTTATTTAAGAGGTGACGAAAGTCGCAATACAGCTGGACGAAAGGAAACTAGGACAAGAAAAAAAATAAAAAAAACAAATAAGATACCTATCTGACAACCTAGTGAACCTATTTAACAAGTACAGAAAGGAAGGTGGACGATACGGACTACCTACTTTCATTAAGTACAAACCATTCTACGTCATTGCTCCACGTCTAACTTCCAGGGACACTTGCTTATGTATTAAACATAGCAATATAGAATTTCAGCACAATGCTTTAAAGAAGGCTGGAGCATTGGAAACTGGGACAATAAGAAATGTGTTGGATAGCATATCCTGCGATATAAAAAACTACTGTTGCATGTACGATAAATGCACGATTTGCAGTGATCTGAAACCATTTTATGAACAATGTCTAGATAAAAATGTGTCTTGGTTCCAATGGAAACGTGTAGACCATGTTTACACAAAAATGGAAGAACATAAAAAAAAAAGAAATCACAACTAAAAAAACAGCAAAAGTAATAATAACAGGAAATTTACAGGAACTGAAAAATAATTTCGAAAAAGACTTACATAAATTTAAAAAGCACTACTTTAACATGCTACACCAACAAAACCAGTACCAGATTGCTGTGTCGAATCAAAAAAATAATGAAGTTGTCATAGTTTGTGACTTTTCTGAGAACTATGAGGCAAAATTAGCAAATGAGGTCCAATCCTTGCATTTTGGCGCTTCAAAAAACCAAATAACATTACATACTGGCATGGTTTTTTGGAGAGATGAATCTAAATCATTTTGTACTATATCGGAATCAAATAATCATCGCCCAGCCGCTATCTGGGCACATTTAACTCCAATAATAAATATCATTAAAAATAAAACACCAAATGTAACGATACTCCATTTTTACACAGATGGACCATCTTCCCAGTACCGACAGAAAAATAATTTTTATTTGCTAACCGAATTTACAAAAAAAACTTGGATTTGATTATGCAACCTGGTCATATTTCGAATCTGGCCATGGAAAGAGCGTTGCCGATGGTATAGGAGGTTGTGTAAAAAGAACTTTAGACAGAAAAGTCAGCCAAGGAGTTGACGTAGCAGATGCAGAAGATGCACACAATATTTTGAATGAGTGTCTAAAAGTAACAAAGGTTTTCCTTATTAAAGAAAGTGATATAGATGAAATAACGGAAATTTTTCTTAATACCGTTCCGCCGCTGAAAGGAACTCTTCAAATCCATCAAGTTGTCACGCAAAAAGACCAGACAACAATAAAGTTCCGTAATATTAATTGTTTCTGTGGACCTGTTCGTGGCCAATGTGATTGCTATTCACCCCAGTTACATAACACTATGACTACTAGAAAATGCCTCTCTTCCAACAAAAGAACCAATCTTTCACAAAATTTCGATCCTCAATCCTCTACATCTACTTCAATTGCTAAAAAACGCCAATCTTCCAATAAAATAATCTATCTTAAAGAAATTGTTGAAGCTCAGATTTCTACCACTACACAAATTTCTAACCAACAACAAGATTACAACAAAAGAGCCCATCTTCCAGAAAAAGTTGAAACTCAGCATACATCTATTCCAATTTCTAAAATACGTAAATCTTCCAACAAAAGAATCAATTTTACAGAAAATGTTAAACCTCAGCAATTTACATCTACTCCGATTTCAAAGAACCGCCAATCTTCCAACAACTTTTCCAAAATCTTCGAACCGCAAAAAACTCTTCATTTGCTGCCTTCTCGACATAAACCTTCTATCATCTCCCCCGAAGAACAAACATCTCCTGAACAAAGTAAGCTTTCAATGGTTTTCAAGAACAATCAATCTTATTCTAATGATAATAGTGGGAAGGAACTTTTACTTGAGATAGGTTCATTAATACCCTCTGATTTAGATTCTTTCAATAATATTAATATTGCTGACTCCGAAGACTTTGAGAAACTTGTCGTTCTGAATGATATAGAAATATTACCAATGATTATATTACCAGACAAAAAAGACGAGACTAAGCCCGAAGTAACCGATAATACGATAAATGATAGTAATTTGATCAAAAATTATAGTACAAGTAAAAAAAAAAGGGTTTCATTGAATGCCAGAAGTGTACATGTACAATATTAGATAGAAAAGCCAAATGTATGGCTTGCCAAAAATGGTTTTGTGAGGAATGTGTCGACGGTCCTATAGAATTTGATTATATATGTGAAAAGTGCTTCGAAGGTGGATTTTATTAAAACTAGCATAAAACGTTATTTGTATAAAATATAAATGGTAGGCATAGTTACTTAGACATAAATTATTGATAATTTGATTAATGTTTTTGTTACAGATTAAAATTAGTGGTGAAAAATGATGATCATTTACGCTGAGATCGATAATGCATTGCATTTTGATGATTACAAGAGAATTATCGACTTAGCTTTAAAATGGCCCTGGACGGAAACGCACTTTGTCATTGCCGAAAATTGTTTTGGTTGCGGCATAAATACAAGATACATTTCTCCTCCACATTTTTCTATGAATATGAATCTTGAAGATACTTTATATGTACTGCAAAATCCACAATTCTGGTGTTACAATTGCAAATATTGTGTTTATGATCATTTCCCTAGAGATGAGTGTATTTTTTGTGCTATTTAGTTTAACTTTGTGACGCATGGATCTCTTTTTTTATCTAATTGATATTTGGTGATTAGGTTAGTCCTATTCATGGATCTCATATTTTTCTGATCGTATATTTATGTCTAAGTATAATAATTTAAACTGCCTAAATAAGGCATTTCTCGTATGTGTTCAATTTGATACCTACTTATGGTATCTGTGACTAATAATAATAAAAAAGACTGATTGTCAATTATATATGTTCTCCATATGTTAATTAAAGTTACCTATTGTTGTTAATAATTATTGAATAGATTTTGGACATTTTTTACTGGATTGTTACTTAATTAAGATTAACATTATCCATGTTACTAAACTTTTAGAAAGCCCGAAGTTTTTTTTCCAATGAATATTGTATTTTTGTTTAATTTTCATATAAAAGCATTTTAAAAATTATATTTCTAGGAACAACTCAATTTCTAAGTTTGGATAAACTGTACTGTTTGGGTTTCTTATTTTGTATTTAATACATTTAATAAAAATAATAAACACCTAAATTATCTTTATTTTTTAATAATTCGTACCCACAAGTAATTGTTGTAAACGCACCCTAATGATTTTTAGGCGGTCAGTTTGGTCACTGTCCCTCCAAATTTGCGACTTAATTTTTCCCTTTTAAACACCTTGCAGCGATAGAAATCATACCAAAAGTACAAATTATTGTCAGAAATGATAGTTTTATTTCTTTAATAACATAATTTATGATTATAACAGTCAAAATCATGAATAAACTGAAAAATCATTAGTATGAAAGAACCCATGGTAACCAAACTGAACTATAATTATCTTTGCTCATAAAACCCTTAAATTATGATTAACGACAAGCACATTATTATATATAATTAATATCATTATTATTACTAAACAATTCTAAGAGATATTCCTATTTTAAATAAGTCACATAATGGAAATATTTTCTTGCCCTAATCAGCTTTGTGTCGATCTTGGTATCTATTTAAGCGTACTTTCGATAAATGAAGCATATTTTTATTGTTGGCAACTTAATGAAATCAACATTAATCGACCGGAAGTTGACGCCGGTGACGCCATCTTGCGGCGCACAATGACGTTCACGTGCAAGATGGCGACTATATAAGCTAGCAACCGACCTAAGCATGGCAGTCTTAGTTCCGCTCGCGCTGTGACAACTAGTGTAAATTATAAAATAAAGTGTTGTGATTATTGATAGCTATGTGTGATGTATGCAAATTAGTGAATAAATAGTTTGATGATTGAAAGTGAGGTTTTAGTTTACATCAGAAGTGGGATATTAGGCGCCAATGGGCTCTCGCAGGAAGCGCTCTAAACGTCGCGAAAGACGCTCGAGTTCGACGTCGAGTAGCTCGAGTAGCGCTCGAACACCGTCGCCCTCACCGAGACAAAGGAAAAAGGTAGCACACAAAACTGACACCGCGACTGTAAGTACAAACAACAGCTTAATATTGTGCAATATCATACCAGAATTTGACCCGTTAATAGACGACGTAAATGCATGGCTTAATATTATCGAATCTTACTCTCAAACGTTTGCCTGGTCGGATGAAGTGATTCGCTATCAAGCTTTGAACAAATTGAAAGGTTCCGCTAAAACATGGTACGACTCCTTATTACATACTGAATATCAGTGGCCATCTTGGAAATGGAAAGATTGGCGAATAAAGCTATCGGCTTGTTTTCAAAGTAGGAGAAATATTTTTGATCTTCTAAAAGAAATACTCGATAAAAAACCCATAGAAAATCAATCTTTATACGATTTTTACTTTGATCAAAAATGTAAAATCGATCGTTTGTCACTAAACTTTACACAACAAGATATTATATCTATTATTTTAGGGAACATAGGAGAGGCAAATTTATTAGCATCAATAGACGCTAATCAGTTTACAACATGTGATAATCTAGCAAGTTTTTTGCATGGTCGAATATACAAATCCAAATTTCCTAAATCTTCAAATGTTCCTTGTGAAAACCAACCACGACAAACCGTCGCACAACCAACTACTTCCTCCACAAATGGAGGTAGTATAACCATAATAGATCAAACTGTTCCATCTGGTTCACTAGCGACCATGCAGAACATACAACGTAAATCGTTAAAATGCTTCATTTGTGGTGGGAATCATAAACGAAATCAATGTGATAAAAATAAATGCGACTTCTGTGGGAAAAGGGGACATTTAGAAGCTGTATGCTTTCACAAAAAACTGACGAAAACCGAAACGCACGAAACTAAATTTATTTCTACCCCCAACCCTCGTAACAAATTCGTTAAAAATATAATACTAAATCACGTGAAGTGTGAAGCTTTTATAGATACTGGAAGTAGTTGTTCGTTAGTGTCAGAGTCATTCGCAAAGAATAATTGCTTTGAAATTAGTCCTTTATCCTCTCCGATTTTATTGCAAGGATTTTCTAAACAATCCTCAAAA